ACCACACCGTCTGGGGAAGCAGCAATATAAACAAAAGAGGTGAGTGCCTACTTGAATTTATATATAGCAATAAATTAATGATTATGAATGAAGGCAATAGGCCGACATTCATAAATGCAATTAGGGAAGAGGTCCTTGACATCACCCTTTGCACTGAATTTATCGGCAGTAGGGTTGGTGGATGGCATGTCTCAAATGAGACATCCATGTCCGATCATAGGCAGATTAGGTTTGATATCATGGTCTCCGGAGGCCTGGCAGAAGAAATTTATCGGGTGCCCCAATCCACAGATTGGAGTCAATTCGAAACGCTCCTCATGGATGGGATTAGATCCGTTCCTGCTTCTGTCAGAACGGTGATGGATATCGAAATGGCCAGCGAGGCCCTGACGGCGGCTATTACTAATGCCTATCACGGGAGCTGCCGTGCTAAGCCGAGGCGGAGCAATAGGAAGTGCCCGTGGTGGAATGAGGAGCTTTCAAGGCTTAGACTAAAGACCAGGAAGCTATTCAATAAGGCCAAAGCGTCAGGTTCGTGGGAAGAGTATAAGGACTCACTCACAAAATACAATAAGGAAATTAGGAAAGCGAAGAGAATCTCATGGAGGGCGTTCTGCAAGGGCATTGATGAACTCCCCAGCAGTGCGCGTCTTCACAGGGTGCTTTCCAAAAAGTATGCTAGCAGGTTGGGCCTAATGGAACGTCCTGATGGCTCCATGACTGAGAACGGAAGGCAGACGTTGGAGCTTATGGCGTCAACGCACTTTCCTGACTCGGAGATTCTTCGGAATCACTCAAATGCAGTCATCGAACCGGGGGCACCCTGGCCCAGGAGGGATGACTGGCAACGATCCCGTCTAGTCTTCACGATGGGCAGGATTAGATGGGCTGTTTTCTCTTTCAGGCCCTTCAAATCTCCAGGTGATGACGGGATATATCCTGCATTTTTGCAGAGGGGTTTCCAACATATCGCTAGAGCACTGTTGGGAATTTTTCGCGCCAGCTATGCGTGGGGTTACATCCCTCAGGCATGGAGGGTGGCTAAAGTGACGTATATTCCGAAGGTGGGTAAGCGACCAAGCAACCACCCAAGGTCTTTCCGTCCAATCAGCCTTACTTCTTTTCTATTGAAAGCAATGGAAAAAGTGATTGATAGATTTATACGGGACGGTGCACTGGGAAGCAATCCCTTGCATGAATCTCAATACGCCTATCAGTCGGGAAGGTCTACTGTACTCGCTCTGCAGAGTCTGGTGGGGGTCCTTGAAAACTCACTGGAGGTGCGGGAGGTAGCAGTTGGCTGCTTCCTTGATATAGAGGGAGCTTTTGACAACACCCCATATCATGTCATCTGTGAGTCGTTGCACAAACGAGGGATTGATGCGACGACTAGCAGATGGGTCAATCGGATGCTACAGGATAGGATTATTAAGTCCACCATAGCTGACGATATACTCTTCATCTCCGCTGCAAAAGGATGTCCGCAGGGCGGGGTTCTTTCGCCCCTCCTGTGGTCCATTGTAGTGGATGATCTAATAGCTGCTCTCAGGGGCTCCGGGGCGCGTGTCTGAGGATACGCTGACGATTTGGCCTTCGTCGTGCGGGGAAAATTTGAGAGCACTATTTCTGATCTTCTACAGCAAAATTTACGTGTTGTGGAAAGGTGGTGCAAAGGCGTTGAGTTAAATATAAATCCAAGCAAGAGCACTTTGGTCGCCTTCACCAGACGCAGAAGCAGGGACAGGTTAACGAGCCCAATTCTGTTTGGTGAACGTATTAGTTACTCGAGGGAGGTGAAGTATCTGGGGGTAACCCTGGATGATCGTCTCTCTTGGAATACCCATATCGATAGAGTTATCGGGAGAGCTACGGCGGCCTTGTGGACGTGTAGGAGTTTCATCGGGGGGACCTGGGGAATTAGTCCCAGAATAGCACTGTGGCTATATACGGCCCTTGCTAGGCCCATCGTCACCTATGCGTCGATTGTATGGTGCCGTAAGGCTCAGCAGGCGGGTGTGCGGGCCAAGCTGGAAAAGCTACAGAGGCTGGCCTGCCTGGGAGTGACCGGGGCGATGCGGACGGCTCCCACCGCTGCATTGGAGGTGATGATCGGATTGCCGCCACTGCACCTCCATATATTGAAGGAAGCTCGGCTGGTGACTTACCGACTTCTCTCTGGCGAGGACGGGGCAGGGCTAAAGTTGGCCCACAGAACTCACAGAGACTTCATTGAGGGCGATCCGATTCTAAGGATAACCATGTCAGATACCTGTCTGCCGCGGTACAACTTCGACCACAAGTACAGGGTTCTGTTTCCTGATCGATGGACGTGGGATCGGGGTGGTCCGGTACTTAGGTCGGGTTCGAGCGTGTGGTATGCGGACGGGTCCAAAACGGAGTCGGGGGTGGGCTCGGGCGTATACGGTGTCCGCCCGGACACGCGTGTATATGCAACCCTTGACCCGTATTGCACAGTGTTCCAGGCCGAAATGCATGCAATAGAAATCTGTCTGAGAATCAATTTGGAAAGGGGGTATAGAAACCGCACCATCTATGTGTTCTCAGACAGCAGGGCTGCACTGCTGGCGCTCCGTTCAGCTCAGGTTACATCCAAGCTGGTCTGGAGCTGCCTTGCTGCACTTATGGAATTGGCATCGGAAAACAGAGTGATGCTCATTTGGGTGCCGGGCCATAGTGGCCATGCGGGCAACGAAGTTGCCGATGAGTTGGCGCGGAGGGGATCTGGGGCTGCCTTTGTGCAGCCGCTGCCTTTCTGTGGTCTGCCTTCTTCCGCCGTGGGGGCCAGGCTTGCCTGCCTACTCGCGGCGGAATGCAGTCGTCACTGGCGGGACACGAAGGGGTGCCGTCATGCGAAGGTGTTTGTTCCGGCGTGCTCCGGCGGATTCGCTGCGGAGTTGCTGGGGATGACCAGGAGCCGGGTTCGCACTATTGCGAATTTCTTCACGGGGCACTGCCCGGTGAAATACCACCTGCACAGGCTGGGGAAGTCGGGCTCCCCCCTGTGCAGATTTTGTGGGGGTGGCGATGAGACCGCCGTGCACATTCTCTGCGACTGTCCGGCACTGGCTGTTCGGCGCCGCAATTGTCTTGGACATGGGTCCCTAAGTGTTCGGGAACTATTGTCCAACTCCCTTAGGGATATTGCCGGCTTTGTGATTGGGACGGGGATATTATAGACGGGAGAGTGGGGTGGCTACAATAAGTCAAAAATGGCTGCGGTGGCTTGGGGGGATGCTCCTGTCCCACTCGGTTCCCTTAGAATCTACGAATCTACGATCTACTACTAAGACAGTATGTTAACCTGCTCTAATCTTACCTGATTAATAGGGTATTTCGAGTTAAACAGGAAGAGGAGTACTCTTCGCTTAGGGATATCAGGTCGGGATATTATACTTGCTATACACGCGTGATATTCCTGAATCGGAAGGAACATTCACAACAGCTACATTTGCTAATGATACAGCAGTTATCGCAATAGGACGAAATGAAAATGAATCTACACAAAAATTACAAAAGACCAGTAACGAGATCTCAAAATGGACTAGAAAATGGAATATAAAACTTAACGAGGTGAAATCAGTACACGTGAATTCTACTAATAGGAAAATTGACAACTCATTTTCGGTTTGGATAAATGACGTCTTGATTCCGTCCGCAAACACGGTCAAGTGTTTGAGAATGACGTTGGACGCAAAGCTCAGATGGAAGAAGCACATAAAGAAAAAAAAATCTGAACTCGAGGAGGAATACGGAAAGTTTGAATGGCTTTTGGGAAGGTGTTCTAAGTTGACAATATACAACAAAGTTTTAATATATAATCAAAAATTTAAGCCTTTCTGAGCTTACGGTATTCAGTTATGGGGCTGCGCTGCTCTGACTCATATCCAATCTATTCAAAGATTTCAAAATAGGGTATTACGGGACATTGTAAACGCCCTTGTTATGTCCGTAATGCCGATATACACAGGGATCTCATAATCCTAAGTGTCGCAGACAAAATTGAAAAGCAAGCAACCAACCATAAAATGCATTTATCCAGTCATGTCAACAACGAGGCGGCTCGATCGGTTGACAATCAAAACTTTGTTAGGAGACTTAAATATACGAGACCTCTCGAGTTAGTTTAATGTTTTTTATCTGGAACAATGAGTACTTAGTACGCTATTGTGCCAGATAGAAAGCTTGTGAACAATCAAAAAGGTTGGAGCAAAATTAATGGTTAGTCGTTTCCGACTAATTTTATAATTTATTTTGAGGAAGGCGTTTTTTAGTCTGGCAGTGTCTTTCGAGATTTTTCACCCTTCCTCTTGGTAAAAAAAAAAATAAATATTTTTGTTTTTCTATATCAGTTACGCATTTTGAGAGCCAGCCTGAAGCTTCTTATTTATTTTTAAAAAACTTATTCATCATATTAGCCTTATCATTACTACAGTTTGGTACTCCCGAAATTCATAAATTTTCGAAAATTTATAACCTTTTTCAATAGCTTTAAGAACTTCGTCAACTATCCATGTTCCTATTAAAGCTCTGTTCTCATCCGAATGTGGGCAATATTCTTCAAAAAATTTTTCTTCGCTAGAAGTTCTACTGAATGAAAACATTAACTTATTGTTTTGTTTTACTGGGAGAATGAAAAGCAGTAAATACGTTCGCGGTAAAATTTTTGACAATCTAATGATTCCGTCCATTTGATCCAATTTTAAGGTAGAACATACACTTTTTCAACATATATTTTCGGATGACTTATCGAAAATTTTCCATACTTGTAAACCAAAAGGTATTAAGAACAGATGTCTCTATATCTTACTTTTTCTACTTCTTAACATTTATAATAATTGTAGATGTTGCCTATTCGCCCGCGATAAAAAGCATATTGGGGATTTAATTGTAATTCGAAAATTAAAATCGCATTCTCACATTTCAATAACCTCGTAACGCAATTTCATAATCGTTCAACCTTTTCAATGGTTCTTTCATACCTGGTGTTTAATGCGTCGTTTTTATTGTTATGCAGACTATTATTTAGATTATGTGGTAGACAGGTAGGGTATCCATGATAATGGCACTCATAACCGTTAAACTGGTTCTCTCTGCTTTGCTGCATGTCTGATATTGGTTTTTCTTCCCAGACTAACCATTTAATAGTCACTTTTGATTTGTTGTCCGAGTTCCTGTACCCGTGTTGTGAAATATCAATAAACTGATCACATCTTTGCTCAAAAAGAAATAAAATTGTTTTATGTTGTTTAGTAGCTATCTCTGTTTTATTTATAAGTTTTTTTTGAATTTTTTTTTGTTTTGTTTCTAAGTCATAAAATATAAACAAAAAATCTTTTAAATTTGGGTTATTTTTATTTTGTAGTATGTGGCATAAATGGTTGATTTTCATATCCTTATTGCATATTTTACAAAAATATTCATTGAAAATGTGTTGCATTTCACTTTTGCAAAGCAATTGATACATTTCTGTATTTGTTCGCAAATACTTATTGCAATTGAATGAGAGCTTTTGTCAAAACATTTTTGGCCTTTTAAATTTTTTTATAAATATTACATCAAAATATTTTCAAATTTTTTATCAGATGGTGATGATTTGATAATACGGACGTGATCCAGTACACCTATGTCCATTTCTAATATTATAGGCTACATGACAAACTCCACAATAATATATATAGAATAATAATATATATGCAGATATTAGTGACGTAACTACGTTCTAATGGTTATTGTGAAATAAAAGACTAAATTTTTTTTATTTCCTGTTCTTTAAAATATAAAATTTTTCCTTTTGTACCATACTTTTATGCTGTTATTTTGTAATTAGATAGACGTTTTTGAAATTTGTTTAGTTCGATGACCCCACAGCCATAGCTAGGAATCGTTAGATTGCAAATTTGAATTCGTTTTGTTTATTTGTTTATGAAATGCAGATTTTTCGACATTATTAATTGCCACAACTAAAGCTCCGGTGCTTTTGCATTGATCTTCGAACTGTGTGTACTTCAAAGCTTTACCGATTCTGCGTGGTAATTTGACACATGTAGCTATTATGTAAAATTTATCAGAGCTAAAACTTTCAGAGTTACTTTGAAAGATATTCGCTATTATATTCTACACGTCTTTAAATGTTAATTCACCTGCATCCTGAAATTTTATATATCAAAGCTCTCATTAATGTATTAAATTTCAGCTTTCTATCTTCAAGGGTGTAGAAGTTTTGTAAACAAAAAAAGTGTCCACGGACGGACGGACGGACGGACAGAGTGAAACTAATAAGCACTTTTTTCAAAAATTTTTTGGAAAAGTGCTAAAAATTAAAATAAAAATTTTGACTTCAAAATAATATGTAAATATTTAATACTTTTTAAGAATCCCCACGATAAATCGCAAATATTACCGTGTTAATGGTCAAATATACCCAAATCAAATCTTTTATGTATTTCAGAAACTATATATTGATGTAACATCTAAGCCGGATAGTTACATATTAGTAGATCTGACGCAAGAAGTTAATGATTTATTTAAATTAAGAAGTAATATATTCAAAAAAGTAACTTATTGTTTTTTACGAAAACAGTTGGAAAAACTAATTGAAGTATATGGAACGTTTGAAAACCAACCGACATATATCTTAAGATGCATTTTGAATCTCTTAACCCCTTGGGTACTGATTTATTTGAAAAATTATTTGTATGTGGAACGAATTTAATTTTTTGTTTCTTGGAGTAGTATGTAAACTCAGGAGATTTTACGTAAAAATTCATTTATTTCTAAAATATCAGTGATATATATAGTTTAAGAAGGCTTCACGTATTTACAATTGCAAAACAAAACTAAATTAATTAACAAAAAAAAACACTAAATCAAATAAATTTCAGTTATAAAAAAAAAACAAATTGCTAATAATTATGAAGAGTGTGGAATTTTTCAACGCAATTAGGTAAATGCACTGGGACTTTGCAGTGTTTACACCGCCACGTAGTCTCTTTCCTAATTTTATGCTTAAAACAAACCCGGCACCTTTTTGTAGGGTGGTGCTTGGACTCAGTTGACAGAATATTCTCAGGAAAGTGTACCCAATTTTCCACTATCAATCGAAATGGTGAAAATCATAAAAAATATTCCTTTTTACCGAAATACTGTAATTGCACCTTCCGTTTTAACTGATAGAAGCTACAATGAAACGAGCATGATTGTGCATGTTAAATATTGTCTCAAATCAAATGACGATTGAGAGTCGTTATCCGCTCTTAGGGAAAACAAGCGCATGACGATGGAAATATTCGCATAAATTTATGTATGTATATTTTTTTTAAGCTTCTTAACGATTTTTTTTAAACTTCATATATGAATTAAATAATATTCAAACTGTGGTTTGGCATATAGAAATAATTTTTAAACACATAATTTATTAAATCATGGGAGTAAACAAACAGAAATAAATTTTTCAAATAAAGAAAAGGTTTAGGCATAAACAAAATAATAGTTTTATTCAAGTATATGTATGTACATTCTAATGCATTTAGAATTGAGCATTTTAAAAATTTTTCGTACGAAAAATTAGAAATAAAATTTTAAGTACAAACATACATAATTATTAATCTAAACCTATATTTTTAAAGATCGTAACGAGACATAATATTCAAAACTGTGGGTGAACAGTTATGAAAGTATGTACATATGAATGAATTAGAATTTAACATTTTAGAGTTGTTCGCTCGAAAATTTTAAGTATGTACGGACATCATTATATTTTCAAATATTATTTATTTTTTCTTGGATTATTTGGTTTTATTTTAATATATGGCAGAACTTTTATAATAAACATTATTATAAAAGTTTTATTATTATATAAATTTTAAGTATATAAGCATGCTTGCACATTTTTTTTTAAAGTTCCTAACGACTTTTTTAAGCTTCTTGTATGAATTAAATACAATTTAAAACTCTATGGACCCTAGAGGCAAAACTCTATCTAATGCCTTTTATCTCATGTCTCTAGTATAATGTATACGGATTATATATAACATCCGTATTAATTTTTAAATAAAGCGACAAGTGTTACTTACTTAAATAGATTCGTACAACTGTACTGATCTTCTTTATTTAATACTATTTATAAATATATTTTTATCCTTCTTCTTTGTTACATTATAAACTTATATCTAGGTTAGTACTTACATAAGCTTCTTATTGCATTTACTTTATATTTACTTTCTTTCTGTTTGTTAGCTATTTTTAGGTCAATAAGGTAATGTTTATGACCATATATTTTGAGTTGTGATATTTGATATATTTATGTCATAATATTTTGGGTTATGGAAATGTTGCATTGAATATTTTTGGATTTAAATTTATGACGGTTTATTTAAGTTTGTATAATGCATGAAGATGTTTCAGAAATTGAAGATGTTTTTGAAACTAAATAAATTATATGTGCAGATTAAAGTGTTAATAAGAAATTTTTAGGACATAATATTGAAATGTTTTAGAACAATATGAAATGCATTACACTAGCCCTCCTAGACTCTTTCGATGGGATTCCACCTTGCCGTGGTGAAGGAGCTTAAGTAGGGTCAATGATCTTGAGAGCGATGTCGGCGGGTACTACAATTCTGTGGTATCTGGAAGGTGCAACCATGCCGATAAGGTCGAAAGTGAGACCAGAAAAAACCAAGAGAATCTCACGGGCTTGAAGTAACGGCGCAAGCCAATCTTCAGCAAGTCCCACGGGCATGAAGTAACAGCGTAAGCTAATCTTCAACAAGTCCCACCCCCCCCCCCCCCCCCAATCCAATGGTGTTATACGACCCGTGCCTGGTGGACTAGTTGGTAGCCGGGGGGTATACTGGCTACCGCGAACGGAGTCTCTCTGATACCGGGTCGCCTCAGAGAGTAACGATGACCTTATCCTGGTAAGTCGGCTCTGGCAGGATGGACTGTTTTTCCGGACACACTCGTGGGATCAAAATGGAGGATTCGACTAAAAAAATTTTAAAAAAACAAGAGCCAATTGGCACCTCGTCAGAAGACGAGATACTAGCTTCCAGTCAGGAAGCAGGTGTATCGATTGGTGGTGATGAAACCAGTAAGGTAGCAAAACCACCAAAACAATCTACACATAAAGCTAAAGGAACCAGCCATAGTTCCAAAAGCAGAAAATCAAAAGGACCCGCCTTCGTACTCAAGAAGAGATATTCGAAGGCCATCTTCATTTTAGGCAAGATTGCCCAAAATGAAGCAGAAGGTAAAACTTCTGAAAAAGACGCGGAGGACAAAGTCAAATACCAGAAGGTAATTGACGAGTACAATGCGTATAAGAGCACGAAGCCTCAGGAGACCACAAAAAGAGTAAGGTCTCAAGATGAAGAAAGAAATGCTCAAGAGAGCAAAAGGTCGAAGGTCGTCAAGCCAGGGACAACCAGACCTTCAACATCAAGTGGTAATCATGCACAGGGGAGAACAATGAGCGAGGTGGTCCGTGATCATCTCCAGTTTGGGGTGGTGGACAGAAAGTCTACCAACCTGAAGTTGTCCTCCGAATTATGGTGCAAGGTCGAAGCAAAATTATCGGAGATGGTAGTTGAACATCTCCTAACGACCGATGGCAACGAAGTCCTGAGCTTCGATTCATCTGAGGTAGTCAGGGGCTACAGGGTGATCAAATGCGAGGACCGGCTTTCCGGGGATTTTCTTAGTTCGTGTGTTGCTAAGATTAGCGATACATGGGATGGGTCCAAGATTGAGCTCATCCCAGCTAAGGAAATTCCTAGGAGACCCCGGGCTCGTATTTGGATCCCTAAGATGAATATTGCGGGGGACAAGTTGCTAAAGGTCCTAAAGATTGCCAATCCTGAGGTGCCGATGGATGATTGGCAAATTATCAAGAAGGAGGAACCTCAGAAAAACAGTGAGTCCTTCCTACTTCTCATTAATGAGGAGAGTCTACAGCCGTTGGACAGGAGGGACAACAGACTGCGGTTTGGCATACGGCATGCCAAGCTCAAAATATTTCGAAATGCGGACCCAGAAGGGGACGCCATAGAAGAAGCGAGCCAGCTCCTTGAACAGATGGAGGTGGCTGATAAGAGCAAGAGCGATGAGGGTAATCCAGGTTAATCTCAAGCATTCGAGATTAGCCTCGGATAACCTATTGATCTTCCTAGAAGAGGAAGACATCGACATCGCTCTAATTCAGGAGCCTTGG